TCTCATGAATAAATAAATAAAATCTTTAAAAAAAAAATAAATAAATAAAATAAAAAGGAACTTTAGGGGGGGTTGCCTGGCTGTCTCAGAAGGTGGAGCATGCTACTCTTGATCTTGGGGTCATGAGTTCAAGCCCTGCATTGGGTGTAGAGATTACTTTAGTAAATAAAAAAATAAATAAATTGAGTGCAGAGATTACTTTAATGAATAGATAGATAGATAGATAGGAACTTCAGGTGCACACAAGCGGTGAAACTCCCAGAAACTAAGCACTAAGCTCCGAGCAGCTGGGAGCCTCCATGGCTAAGCAATGACTCCAGCCATCTTAGGTGCTGGGGAGACAGCCTGATGGAGCTCAAGGTCCACTGGTGGACAGCACAGAGAAATAGCCCTGGCTTTCTGTTGAGACCTCAGAAGTACTGCATTCTAGGTGTATGGGCAATCCAAAAAGGGCCCAGCCCTCACAAGGCTTCAAAATTCCCATGTCTGCAGAGATTCTCAAATCTGTGTGTCAAGGTCCATCTTCTCTGCGGCTTGTCAACCAGTTAAAGACCATTTCCATTTGAATTTTTTGTCCTCATCTTGCCTCAGAAGTCCTGCTCCTAACTTCTGTCCACCTTTGATAACGTTACTCTTCCGAAAGAGAATTAGGCAATTATCAAATTTTATCCTTTAAAATATTTTAAACTTATTCTTTCTTCTTCATTCCTATTGCCCTAACCAAATCTAATGTAGGCTGTTAACACTTCACATATGGAATGCAACAACTTCCACTAATGAGCCATCTGTGATCCATTCCTATCAAGTGAACCAAATAACCTGGCACTTGATTATCTATGTGCTAGATTCTTCTAACTTGATTCTAAGCTTCTGAAAGGCAAAAGCCATGACATATTTTATTGTATCCCTTATAAGCAGTGGTTCCAGCTCACATGTGGAAGGAGAGTTGGTACGTATTCGCTAAACACATGAATGATACTATAATTGGGCATAACACAGTAAACATTGTTTTGTTTTTTAAAGATTTTATTTATTTGACAGAGAGAGACACACAGCAAGAGAAGGAACACAAACAGGGGGAGTGGGAGAGGAAGAAGCAGGCTTCCCGCGGAGCAGAGAGCCCGACGCGGGGCTTGATCCCGGGACCCTGGGATCATGACCTGAGCCGAAGGCAGACGCCCAACGACTGAGCCACCCAGGCGCCCCAACACAGTAAACATTTTAACATGCTGTTAAAAGATGACCATGGAGTGCCTGGGTGGCACAGCTGGTTAGGCATCCAACTCTTGATTTAGGCTCAGGTCATGATCTCAGGGTCATGAGATCGAGCCCCATGTTGGGCTCCATCTGTGGAGCCTGCATAAGATTTTCTCTCTCCCTCTCCTGCTCTCCACCCCCAGCCCCCGCACTGGCACACTCACACTCTCTCACTCAAAAAAAAAAAAAAAAAAAGATGACCAGATGACCTTGGGATATGGTGCTACAACTCATTAGTAACCAAACCCATCAACTCTACCTCTTACATCTTTTATCCATTCTCTTCTCTTCATCCTTAGTCTGACCTTTCTACTTCATCTTCTACAACAAAGCCTCCTAAATGATCTTCCTGCCTCTACTAGTACCAGTACTTTCCTATCATCAGAATGACTTTTTCTAAAATACAAATTGGATCATGTCTCTCCTACTTTAAAGCCCACATGATGGAAGTCCACCTACATTAACAAAGCATATAGGGCCATCAAGAACTGGTCCTTCCTCATTTCCTAAGCTTTATCCTGAGGCTTAGCACGTAACACATGCTCAGTAAAGGTTTGCTCAACAAATGAATTTATCTTTGGATTAGGAAAGAATGAAGCCATATGAGCAAAAGGCAAACCTACAACTGGGTTCACATTACAGAATAGGCTATCCTCATGAAACCCTAAATCAGTTCTAAACCACATCAATGTCATACTCAAAAGAATTTAAGCTCATTTTTCATGGTGTCATTCTTAAAATGAGATAGACTAGTTCAACCTATGACTCATTATTTGGCCCCAAATCATCAGGCTTGGTTTAACTTAGTAGAGTTACCTTTTGGTCCTGGCACACTTGAGCCTGAGCAGACAGAATGAAGGCTCTTGTTTCACTTATACCAGAAGATAACAGTTTTTGAGTAGCAGCTCATTCTGTTGTTTTCTCACACAAGAAAGCAGGAAAATGTCTGCCTTCTACTTCTTCCCACACGCACGCCACTTTCAAGTGACATGGGAATGTAGCCTTCTCCCCCACACACTAACCTTTATGTTGAAGGTGACCACAGTGCCATTTGCCAGTCCTGCATAGAGGATTCGCCATCGACTATGGAGGCAGAGAACCCGATCTTCCAGCTGTAACTGCTCCACACACTCTCGCGTCTGACAAAAGTACACAACATCTCATCAGCAGAGGTTAACAGCAAATAAAATGTGAAATCAATCCTTCTTAAAGCAGAGTGTGAAATGATTTCTATGAGGAAGAAAATGTAGCATCCTCTATCCTGTAGAAGACTATCATAGATTTGGCCAAAGACCCTCAAGCTCTAAACAAACATTAACTCTAATAATGTCCCTCGTGTTCCTACTTTGGAATGCAGAAATTATTTGAAGGGCACTAAGAATTGGGCCTTAAAATTTTAAATTAAGTAGCCAAAGGTAAAGCTGCATTTGACATCTAAAAAGGAAAATAAAGGTTACAGTTGTATATTTGATACTTGCATTAATCATGTATGTGCTTTCCTGTAATTGATTCTCTATTTCAATAGTTCCCAAATGCCTCCTTCAAACCAGCGCTCGGTTGGCTGATCCATAATTAGCTGAGAAGCTTTTAAAATATACAGAACCCTTTGGGGTGCCTGGGTGGCTCCGCTGTTAAGTGTCTGCCTTCGGCTCAGGTCATGGTCCCAGGGTCCTGGGATTGAGGCCGACATCCAGCTCCCTACTTGGCGGGAAGCCTGCTTCTCCCTCTCCCACTCCCCCTGCTTGTGTTCCCTCTCTCGTTGTGTCTCTCTCGGTCAAATAAGTAAAAAATCTTAAAAACAAAAACAAAAACAATTTATATATAACCCCAAGCTTCATCCTCAACCCCTGAGATTCTAATTCGGTAGGCTCTGGAATATGCATTTTAAAAAATTTCTTTAGTAATATCCAGGTTAAATAAGTACTATTTGATCTCACCTTCAAGAAATGATTTCCATGAATTTCCAGAACTGGGTTATACTAGCAATTCTAGTTACCTAGGTAACCTGGCCCTGTTTCCAGTAAGATAGTGAGCTCTCAAGATTTGTTAATGAATGACACTAAGCAACTAAAGGCCCAAGTGTAGCTTTTAAACAGGATTGGAAACAGATGATAAAATCAAGATGGTTAAAACTGGATAGAATGAGACAAGCTGTGGGTAGGATGATAAAAGCTGTAGGCTGTCAAAGCTTTTGACCTCTTTCCCCAACCTTCTTTTATAAAGAGCCAGTCTCCAAAATTAGTCAATTCTCTTCCATAAAATTATAAATATAAATGCCATGTATAAAATTGTGAAATAGAAAGACAGTAAATATGCCCAAATGTTAAAATTCAAGTTGCCTCTGGTTAAGCCATGTGAGAGCTTTTTGTAGTTTTTATAGGGGAATCAGATATATACTGTAATAAAAAAGAAAAAAAGATTCCTTTTAAAATATGAATGCTCGCTGACAAGCACCTAGTCACCCAAGAAATCTAATGGAGATGTACAAGATTAATGTTGTTTTCATACTTGCTAACATCCGTCTGCAGCCCATGAATCGAGGAGTCATTTCGACTTCCAAGTCCTATTTTTTTTTTTTT